ACTGGTTCGAATCGAATGGAAATAACTGAAAATAGTACATCAGTTGATGTTGAACATAAAATGTGTGCAAATTATGAAAAAAATATTTGTCGAAAAAAAGAGACAATTAGAAAAATTTTTCAAGTTAATATTTTAATTTGATTTCTACAATTTTACTATTTTGTTTTTCTTTTTTATAGAAAATTAAATTACTTCTTGATGAACTTAATAAATATTTAAATACAAAAAAAAGTCAAGTTATATTTCAAAACGATCTTTTACAAGAAAATAATCAACCGAATTTTATTCAATTACAATGTCGAACTTTAGATCAACTTAAATGTCATCTTGATAATATTATACATATTGGTTATGATCTTGGTCTATATGGACTTTTTTTAGGAATAATATCATTAAAAAATTATCTTGAATCAAAAAATGCCTTAATAAACATAACTGATAAAGAAGCAAAAGATTTATATGAGAAGATAATAAAAAGTCTTGATTCTTTAATCAATAATGAATTCAAAAATTTACCTGAAAATCGTCAAATTCTTTATAGTGATAAAGTAATTAGATTAGAAGAAATTATAAAAAAAAATAGTCTTGGTCAATGTATTGTTTTTGTTGAACGAGTATATGCAGCAGCATTTTTATATCAAGTCTTAGGTAAAATCTTTGGTGATTCTATTAAAATTAAATATCTTGCTGGTTCGAAAGCTTATATTGATGGTATAAGTGTTTCAAATAAATATCAAGTTAGATGATGTTTAAATAGAAATATTTTTAATCATTTTATCTTTATGAATTTTAGCGTGAAGTAGTAGAAGAATTTCGTCAAAAACATATTAATGTTTTAATATCTACAGCAATTATTGAAGAAGGTTTGAATTAAGATTTTATATATTATTATTTTTTCATTTATTTTCTATGTTTCAGGTTTGGATATTCCAGGATGCAATCTTATTATTCGATTTAATAAACCAAACAATTTTTCATCATATATGCAATCAAAAGGACGTGCAAGATCACGCAAAGGAAATGCATTATTTGTTCTTTTCCGAGATGAATCTGAATATGAAGAATATGAGTCGAATAAAGAAGAATATCGAAATTATGAATTTATGGAAAAAGTAAAAATATTAAACTTGTTTTATTTGTATGTTATATTTTTGAAATTTAGCTATTAAAACAAAATTTTAAAGTTGATTATGATAGTGATAGTTCTTCTAATGATGATCATAATACATTAAGACCTTATCGAACTGAAAATGGAGTCAAAATTGATGGCATACGTTCAATACAAATCATCAATCAGTAAATGAATAATAAACATAGTTCTATACTTTTTTTTTTCATTTTCGTTAAAGATATTGTGCTGTACTCGGCAATAGTGAAATTTTATCACCACGATTTTGTTTTTATACAAACGAAAATAATAGATTCAAATGTATTCTATCAATGCCAACAAATTGTCCTATACGAGAAGATATTATTGTAAGTTCTATTTTCACATTCGAATTTTATTCGTTTTTTTGTTTTTTAAAGTGTGAAAATAGTAATAAAAGATTAGCTAAACAAGAATGTTGTTTGAAAATGGTTGAAATGCTTCATAAGAAAGGCGAACTTGATCAACGTTGTTTACCAATTCGTCCTGCTCAATGTTTAACAACCGATGATGATGATGATGATGAGGAGACTGAAAAAATATCGTTCGAAATTATTGAAAAACAGGTATCTAAGTATTATTCAAATTTAGATATGATACTAAAGTTGTTTGTATTATCAAATAGAGTTCCTATTTCTTTCATGATTACAATAGTTTATCTACTTGTTGGCATTTGTATAGAATCAATATTTCGAACAATAATGATCTCGGTTTTATTGTACCTAATGAACTAATTAAGGTATAATCTAAATATTTGAAAATTATCTTTATATAGAATTAAGTTTTTAGTTACCAAAATTTAATTTATACGGACGTAATGATGTATTAACTGTAAAAATTACGTATTTGAAACCAATTGATTTAAAACCATATAAAAATCAACTTGAATTTTTTTGTCGATATATTTTTGAAGAAGTTTTTGATGATATGAATACAGGATTAGAATCAATACTTAAATTCGATATTGAACATTCTACTTTTAAATTATTTCCATGTCTTTTGAACAGTAAGAAATAATTTGATTTATTTTCTATTCGAATTCTTTCTTTTTCTTTTTCTTTTTCTTCTGTCAATAGAATCTGACGATATTGATTATCAACGAATGATGACAATATGTGATAGGAAAAATAAGTTTATTCAAAATTTATCTGAATTAAATGATAATGAACTTTATTATCCTTCGTATCCATCAAAAAAACAACTTTATACAAATATCTCTGATGTTTCTCTTTTGAAACGAGTAACAGATAAATGGGAATATAAAAAACCACTAGAAACAATCGAAAATTATGCTGATTATTACGAACATAAAGTACCAAATATTCATATTCAACGAGATCTTTCAATGGCTACAATGAAAGGTTTCCGAAAACCAAGAATAAATTATTTGAAAGATTCTCCATTAAAGAAAGAAAAAGAAACGAATAGTTTAATAATTACACAATATTCTTATTATCCAATTGAAGTTCTTCATTATGGTCCACTCAATCAAACCGATTTTGAATTATTTTTTAAATTACCAAGTATTCTTGTTCGTATTTCACAATTATATTACATAGAACAATTGAGAAAATTATTAGCTGATAAAATTCGATCTTATTCGGTATAGTAGAATATTAAAAAAATGTTAGATAAAAGTTGTCTTGTTTGATTTATATTTTTCTCATTATAGCTGTTCGATAATGAACATATGTCAATTGTTACTTTTGATGATTGTCTTACTAATATATTTTCATCAGTAAGATAGATCTTAACAAAATAAAAGTAATTAATATATATTTTTTTGTTAATAGATTCCATCGAATGTCTTATCACTGGTTTCTTTTAATTATAATTTTTCATTAAAAAATATTAATGAATTTCAACCATCATCAAATTTAATTTTTCAATCAATTACTCGACGTTCAGCAAATGAAAATACTGATATGGAAAATTTAGAAATACTTGGTGATTGTTTTCTTAAACTAGCAATATCTATGTCATTCTATCATCAATATCCATTCGATAATGCTGGTAAATTAACATTAAAAAAAGATAAACAAGTATCCAATGAAAATCTTTATCAATTAGCTAAGAAACAAGAATTAATTAATTACCTATATGTTGATAAATTAATTTATGAAGGTAAAGAAGCTAATTGGATACCGCCTGGTTATAAAATCGATGAAGAAATCTCACAGAAATATACTAAACAAAAAGCTAAACGAAAAGCATTTGCTGATATGATAGAAGCATTAATTGGTGCATTTTTAATTTCGACGAATTATATAACAACTATGAAATTTATGAAATGGTTAGGTCTTGATGTAATTCCAATCAATTCGGAAAGTAAGAATCGAATTTTCTATATATTTTATTGATAATAATTGAAATAAATCAAGTCATAGAACCACCATCAATTCTACGTGCTGATCTATCTGATACAATAGATAATGTTAATAGTAAAATTCAAGAATTTTTTAGTAATTTTGCATTTGATGATATTGAAAAAAAGATCAATTATGTTTTTAAGAATAAAGCTTATCTAATTGCAGCATTTACTCATCCATCATATTATAATAATCGTCTTACTCAATGTTATGAAAGGTATCTAAAATGAAATAATCATATATTTATTAAATCTTTGTAATAGATTAGAATATTTGGGAGATGCTATATTAGATTTTCTGGTAATACGATGTATTTTTGTTGAGTATTATAAACAAGTTACACCAAGTAAAAAGATTTTGTTCACTTTGTTTGTTTATTAGCAAAGATTTGTTTTTATTTTTTTTGTAGGTCGAGTAACAGATATTCGACAAGATTTGTCAAATAATGGTCGTTTAGCATATATACTTGTTTCTTGTGATCTTCACAAAAAAATTCTACATCAATCACCATATCTCTTTACTCGAATAACATCTTATCTTGAAAACCAAACTCTCTTCTCACAAGAGCAATCTATGAAGGACAAATTGAACAAAGTAACATTAGTTTTCGCGAATGAAGATCCATGGGATCCGCTTTAGCCCCAGAATAAAAATACGAATGAAAATTTATTAGGGTCGGAACTACGAAAAAAAAAATTTGTTCGAATCAAAACTAAAAATTATAATTAGATTCCATATAAAAAGCTTAAAGAAACTTTCTATGTATTTTAATAATAAAGACAATGCTCTACATTTTATGTCAAGGCATTTATACATTTTAGGGTACAGAAAAAATAATGTCGAAAGAACAAAAAAAGTAATACAGAAATAAATTCATCAAGTTCTTATTTCATAAAATGTTCGAAATAATTGTCCTAGTTATTCACACACTCCATTGCATTTGTTGAATTCATTTATCAAACGTTTTTCATACTCTTCTTTATTCAACGAATTTATGAACTTGTTTATTGCACAATACAATGATTTGAAATCGTTTTGATTACTTAGATTTTGTTTGATTATATCGAATAAGCAAAAATTACATGGTATCAGATACGTAAGAAGTACTTAAACCTTCTTTCTTACAATAACTTTACCACTTAGAATAGTCTTTTTAAGCTGAGGATGTGGCTATGGGTAGCAAGAAGACCCACACCTCTATCCTTGTTGCTAGAAGAAGGATCATGGTAGGTTTTATTATTCCCTCTCCCTGCCTTCTCTCGGTCACCACTTCTAGTACTCCGAGTATAAAAGCACTTGCTGCCGAATTTTTAGATCGTTCTCTGTCGAAAAATTCTCGACAACCGTGACTCTTATCGAGATTTTCTTATGAAAATATTATTTAAATAATGATTAAGCATTGCAGCAATGTGCAGTATTGTTTTTATTATCCGACCATATCAAGAGAGAAAGTTTTTTTAACCTTTCTATAACGAATTACAATATTTCCACCACTACTTTTGCTATACTCTCTAAGTAGTTTTCTCTAAGCCGAGATCAGATTAGATTTAACAGGATTATGATCGGAATAATTAAAAAAAAAGTTAGTAACGCACATCTCTATTCGTGAAATAAAAAGTTGCTCATGTGTTGTTTTGTAGGATATTGATCAATGGGCTGATTCAACAGCACCTAAAGCTCTAGCTGATGTATTTGAAGCTTTAATCGGAGCAATATTTCTTGATTCTGGATATTGTTTAGAAACAGTTTGGAAGATTATTGAACCTTTACTTCGACAATATATTGGTACGTTTATATAGAGAATATACATTATTTTATTTATTTTGTTCTTTCAATAGATCGATCGATTCAACATCGAAATTTAAATCCAGTGAGATCATTTTTTGAACAAGGTGGAAAAATCATTAAGTAAGTTTTAAATATTTTAAATCTATCTATTCATAATTTATTTGTTTAGGGAATCATGTGATGAAAAAGGAGAGTTTACTTGTATGGTTGAATTAACGAATGGAACTAAATTTGATGGTTATGGAAAAAATAAAAAACTGGCAAAATATGATGCATGTCAAAAAGCAATAAACTACTATTAAGAGTCTCTTTTTGTTCTTATCTGTTTATCCAACGTTTTGTTTTTTTTCTTTATCATATATATCGCATGTTATAGTCAAGAGAATAATATTTTTAAATAAAATGTCGATTAGAAAAATATTATTTAAATTATGTGATGAATTATTCGAAAGAAAAGATGAAAATACAAAAGAAATATTTCCAAAAAAGGTTTTCTTTTTTGTCTTGGAAATTTTATAAAAATAAAATTTTATTTAATTATCTAGAGTGCTTTATTATTTCAAAAAAATGATCTGTCTACATATATTTGGTATCTCTATCAAATACATATTAATGAAAATACGCAAACTAATAATGAATTAGGTTTTATTGTTCCATCAAAATTAATTGAAGTAAAAGAAAAAAAAAACTTTTTGTTTTTTTTTGGTTACAAAGAAATCTATTTTTTAGTTACCGACATTTAAGGATGGATTATCAACAATAAATATTATGTTTAGAAAACAAATTAATTATTTTGAAAATAAAAATTTATTCGAACAATTTTCTAGACATATTTTTGAAAATATTTTTGATAACGCAATGTTAGAATTTAATATTCGAGCTTCATCTTTTAAATTGCTTATATGCTTATTAACAAGTAAGTACTAGAATTCAACATAGCAATGATTTCTTAATCATCATCTGGTTTCATTTCTACAAATCAAATCTTTCCGCTACGTATTGTTTTTTTCGAGTCGAAATGTTGCTCTGAGTCATTAATCAAGAGAAAATAAAATAAATTTTAATACTAGAAACTTTTTTTGGTATTATGAAAAGCAATAGAAAAGAATTCTACAAGACCTTCTATATCCAAGTTCCAGCTTCAAAAATATATTTAAAAAAGCTGTGAGCACAAACCATGCAGAACTAAAATGCGAAGCACAATGCAGCTGCTGTCACTAATCACAAGGAGATTGCTTCATTCTATCTGCTTTGTGATACATTTTTTAACCATCCTTTTATTTAATCTTTCAAGAATGTAATAAGGAAGTAGTTCATCTATTGTAACGACACGTCATTGATAAACGGTCTATGACGAATCGGGAGGACATTGTTAAGACGTCTGTCACGATTTGTGAAAGTTTCCAAGGTGTCTGTTGGATGGGAGATCAGAGTTTCTACCCTATATAATTCAACATTCCTATCAGATTGTGCTATAAAAAAATAATTTTTTATTTTTTTCTAATTTAAGATTCCAATGAAATTGATTTCATTCGGATGTTAAATATTTGTCACCGTCATAAAAAATCCATTGAACATCCATTATATTTATCAGACACTGAACTATATACTGTTTGGTATCTTCCGACAAAACCTCTTGTTATATTTCTATCGAATGTATCACGAATAAAACGAGCATTAGATCGTAGGACTACTAGTCAAACATATGCTGATTATTATGAAGAAATAATTCCTAATATTTATATTAATAAAGATTTAATTATGGGATCAATGAAAATGATAAATAAAAGAAAAATAATATTAAATAAGCATGAAGATTTAATTATATCATCCGATCAAACAATTTATTATTATCCAATTGAACTTTTACATTATGCTCCATTAAATCAATCAGATTTAATATTAATTTCTAAATTTCCAAGTATTCTTGTTCGACTAGTACAGTTACATCATATTGAACAATTAAGAAAATTATTTGCAAAAAATATTCAATGTTATAATGTAAGATGAAATTCATTGTTTTATTTGATTAATAATATTTGTATTATAGTTAAGCAAATCAAATGAAGTTAGTTTCAAAGATTGTTTAACAGAATATATGCATATAGTAAATTTAAATTTCTCTTAGTTATTAGTTGTGTTTGAAGCTTTTCTTTTTAGGTTTCACTTAATCGTCTGAATTATGATTTTTCTATAAGTCATGAACAACCATCAGTTGATATTCTTTTTCAAGCAACAACTCGACGTTCAGTTAATGAACATTTTGACTTGGAAAATTTAGAAATTCTTGGTGATTGTTTTTTAAAATTAGCTATATCAATGTCATTATATTATCAATATCCATTGGCTAATGCTGGTGAATTAACAAAAGAAAAAACAAAAGAAATTTCTAATGAAAATCTCTATCGATTAGCTGTAGAAAATAAACTTAAAAATTATTTATATAATGATAAAATTATTTTTCAAGGTTACGATTCAAATTGGTTATCACCTGGATATATAAATAAAATAAATAATAATAAAAATAAATATACACATCAAAAAGCTAAACGTAAAGCATTTGCTGATATGATTGAAGCTTTTATTGGAGCTTTTTTATTGTCAAGTAATTATATAACTACAATTAGATTCATGCATTGGCTTGGACTTAATGTTATTCCAGTAGATCAAAATGGTAAAGTTATTTAGAAGATTCCATTTGTGGAACTTACTTTATGTTTTTTTCGAAGAAAACTATAGTGAGTGTAAGTTTTAAGTCGTCGTTTTGTGGTCTCCCTTCACAGCAACGAGGAAAGGTAGGCGAGCGATCATAGGATATGTTTTCATAATAACCAAGGACAATAGTCGTTAAAATCCTTTTCCAACATTCTTTAGTAACGGAAGAAAAAGAAGCGCTTAACGACATTAACAACAAGATTTAGATTGTTCTAGGATATTCGAAAGCCTTTCTCGACGTTTGAACGGATGAAATACATTTGTTAATGTTCTAAACAGTGCAGCTGTCGATTTTTGCGCAGATAAAAATTTATTTTCAAGATGTCAAAGATGATGGTTAGTGATGTATTGATTTACCATCTGTTGTAGATATAATGGATATGTACACGAAGCATTTGTTTTTTGGATTTCAAAGCCTTTATTGGATATTTAGAGATTTTTCATACAAAAAACAAACACAAGAAAAGAAAGTTGAGCACAATACGGAGAGGCTCATGACATCTCTTCTTTTGTCTCTAGAATAGTAATGCTAGTAAAATAGGTTTTTTTCTTGATTCCATAATAGATATCTTTAAGATTAGTTTCATATAGTTTAACGCTGAATATTGATTTATTTTGTGGATATTGTTGAATAGATGAATGTATTCCACAAATGTGTACGAGGATAGACCTAAAGCTGTTCGAAGTACTTTAATTTTGCATCATCTGTAAACGTTTCCAAATTTTTTCATTTACTGTGAGCAAAACTGAATATCCATACTTGAGAATAATTCTTACGAACGTTTGTTAAAGATATTTAACATGATTTTATTGTTTAACTCAAATGATGATTTTGAAAGGAAGCATAATAGGTCAATTCTGATAGCGATCTTTAATTCAATGTATTGTATATGGTAATACCAATTAAATTTTCGATCAAAAATTAAACCAAAATATCTCTCGTTGAATTTTGTGGTGTTACAGTTGTACATTTAAATTTTATTTTGATCTAGTTCTTGTATTTCTTTTTTGGATAAGGACTGAAATGCATAAGTTCGATTTTTATTGGTTATAGTTTTAAAGTTTCCAAGCTGTACACCGTCGTTAGAACTCATGAATATGAACATGAAAAGCAATAACACAAACAAAAACAGGATACCAGCAATAAAAAAAAATTCTGTTCGCAATACAGAAATCATACAGATTATTTTCCTAGGGATCGATTATCCGTGAAAAACAAGTATGGTCTGCTAGAGATTTTTCACTTAACATATTTTGCATTAGTATAATGTGAGGCTAAAGAACATATGTAAGTTCCACATTTTATTCTCAAAGATGGTTTGCTAATAAGCTTTTTATTTGAAGATCATATTTTGTCGATTCCACCAATAATACCTACACAACTAGACAATGAAATTCGAAGAATTTTTCATGATGAAGAATTTGAAGAAATTGAATACAAACTTAATTATGTCTTTCAAAATAAAGCATATCTTATTTCAGCTTATACTCATCCATCTAAATCTCAAAATTCTATTTTAAATTCATATGAACGGTACTATATTATTAAAATCTTATTGGTTATTTAAATGAATTTTTCATATTTTAGATTAGAATTTTTAGGCGATGCTCTTCTCGATTTTCTTGTCATACGTCATACATTTCTTAATTATGATAGAAATTTGACACCGGGTAATATTTATAACTATTTTTTTTTTTTGCATATTTCACAATGAATACATTCTAGGTCGAGTAACTGATATTCGGCAAGACTTATCAAATAATAATCGTCTAGCATATATATTAGTTTCAGCTAATCTTCATACAAAAATTCGTCTTAATTCAAATGAACTTTTAAATCGTATTAAATCCTATATAAATAATGAAAATCTTTTTCCAAAAAATCAATCAAACAATAATAGATTAAATCAAGTATTCGAAATGTTATGTTAACATTAAAATTTTTCTAATATCCTAAATATTTTGACAGAATATTTATCAACGGACTGATTCAACAACACCAAAAATCTTAGCTGATGTATTTGAAGCACTTATCGCTGCTATTTTTTTTGATTCGAATAATTCATTAGAAATTGTCTGGAAAGTTATTGAACCATTTCTTGGAACACTTTTTGGTATAAAAATGAATATATTCAAAATATTCAAAATTATTATCATAATTTTCAGATCGATCTATTATTGATCCTAATTTAAATCCAATACGATCATTTATAGATAAAGGTGGTAAAATACTCGCGTAAGTTTTACGAATTGAATAATTTAATTTATAATAGATGATCGCAAACTTTTTAGACAAGATGTTTGTTTTCACTTTTGACTCTCTAGAAAGCATCAAAAATTATGGATTAGGATACTCTTTGCAAATATGGTCTTAGAAATATTGTCTCAATTTTTATTCGAGAATAATTACATAATCTTTTGGTAAACTCAAAAAAATACGTTTGGATAGAACTTGTGGGTCGACATTTCCCGTGAACATGATTCTATTTGAAAGCATTTCAGACGAACCAAAAACTATAGATCACGACTAGAAGTTGAACATGGGCTTAGAAATCTTGTGTCTATTTTTGTAGGGCTTTTTGAAAGATCTGAAAAATTTATTGTTAATGGTGAGGCAACAGATTTTTGCGTATTTCGAACATACTAAAAATTGTCGGAGTTAGTTGTTTAGTAGAGAGAACACTTCTCTACAAAATGTGATATTGAACTCAGCCGTAGTTTTTATCCAATAATTTTTTCAAGAATTCCTTTCAATGTAAAACGATTGTCGATTTTTCAAAAATGAATATTTAGGAAAAGTGAAAATGGAAGAGCCTTGTTGAAGGACAAAAAAAAAAAGAATTTTCAAATAGTGCATTTTGTAAAGTAGTTTCTAGTCTACGAACTGGTATATAAATAAAGATTCCAACTTTTAGTTTCGAATTACAATAGTGAAAATACAAAAATTTTTCGTCTAAGTTAAATTTTTAGGATTTTCAAAGATTATTTCACTACTTTTGAACAAAAACTGCAACAAAATTTCTAAGATCATATTCGAAAAGAGCATTCTAACTCATAACTTCTGATACTTTCTAGCGGATTACAAATGAATAGACATCTTGTCTAAAAACTTTTCGATCACTCGTTACATATATTTGTTTTTTTTCTTATATTATTTATAGAGAATTTGTCAATGAAACTGGAGCTGTTTGTCTTGTTCAAATGCCGGATGGTACACTTTATGAAGGATATGGAGAAAGTAAAAAACGTGCTAAATATGATGCTTGTCAACAAGCAATGAATTATAAAATTTAAAATAATCAGACAAATAAATATTTCTTTTTTTTTCTGTATCTATTTATAGTAGTTGTTTTGCTTCCTATTTCATCATGTTTGTCATCTTTGAGATGTCGATTGATTAAATCAGTCAAGTCACCATGTATTACATCCGTTCTTTTTCTTCGTCTTCATCTGATGTTTGTCTTTCCTAGAGCTAAGAACTGTTTTTTTCTTTTCAGTCAGAAGCAACTAACATCATTGTGTCCTTGTGCTGATGTTAACCAATTATTATTAGATACATACTATGCAGACATGCAATTATGTAAGCGTCAAACGAAAAAAAACCTTATCTCCCGTTGATGTGATGAATTGTAATCTTTATGACTGATATCGATATTTGATTTAGTTAATCTTTTTTTATGAATTCCATACTTTTCTACGCTTAACTAATAAAAAATATATCGATATGTAAACATATCGTTATCGTTCTTTTTCCATTGTCGATTATTATCAGCAGACAGCTTTTTATTAAGTAAATATCTGTTTTCGAACGGAGAATAATATCAAATGATCTGAAAAAACATACGCATATACAGATATTTTCTCAAAGAAAACAAAAAAAGAAATAATGTTATTCTGTAGAAGTAGGTAAAAATAGATGACGTGTACTTTGTCATATATTTTTAAGTACTTATAGATATTTTTGTACTGTTGCAATTGATATCTATTGGAAACAAACAAAAAATGTTTTTTATTTTTCGAAATACTTTAATTATTCTTTTTCTATTAATAAAATATTTAATAACAAAACAAGATACGTCCAGTGATCCTCCATATATTACTGAATATTTCCATCTTATATCAACGATTGATACACCATTACATTTAAAAAAACATTATGGTATGCATGAATCATCTATTGATTTTTATCCAGGTACTATGAATATTATTTTAAGTGTACCACATGATGGTAGTCTTTCATCAAATTTACCAACAAGACCAAAATATGCTTGTAGAAAATCTAATAGTACAAGTAAAAAATGTTATTATCAAAATCCATGTGTATCTCCAATATTTAAAATTAATTCAAAAATTTGTAAAATACATCATGGTCGTGATAAAAATACACGTCTTCTTGCATTAGCACTTCGTTATGAATTAAATCAATTATTTAAATTAAAACCATTTGTTATTATTAATAGATTAGAACGATCAAAAGTTGATATGAATCGTTTTATTGATGAAGGAACATTTGGTGCATCGAATAGTATGCATGCATGGATGAGATATCATTTCTATTTGAAACATGCAAGAGAAATTATTATAAATCATGAGAATAATTATGAAGGAAAAGGATTATTATTTGATATACATTCACAAGATCATGAAGAAGGTTGGGTTGAACTAGGTTATATGCTAAGTAGTCGTCAGTTATCAACAAAAAATTATACACTAAAAAGTTCTTCATTAGCATCATATTTAACAACATTATTCAATCCAAAAGAACTCATAAGTGGAAATAAATCTCTTGGATATTTTATTACAAAATATAAATATTTAGCAGTACCAAGTCCAACATTTCCATCACCACTTAATCATTCCTATTTTGAATGGGGTTATACAATTGAAGAATATGGTCGATATTATAATTTCAGTGCAATTATGATTGAGTCACCTTCAAATCAACTTCTTAATCGAACAAAATTATATATGTATGCTAAATCATTAGCATTAGCTTTACATGATTATCTTATTGATATTGAACTTTTAGAACCTCTCATTAAACCTGAAATTATTAATCAAACTCAAATCATTAAACCTGAAACTATTAATCAAACTCAAATCATTAAACAATGTAATTATAGTAAAAAATTAAATGTTCAGATAAGTTTTTTTATGTTCCTGTTCATAAATATTATTAATCATTTTTGAAGAAAAAAAAAAAAGAGAAATTATTTTTCATTCAAAAACATGAAAATATCCAGAAAAATTTTATTCTAATTCAAGTAATTGACGTAATTGTTGTCGAATTAACTTCTAAAGAAGAAATCGAAAGAGAAACAACGAAGCGTAAAAAAAAACAAATTTTTTTTTTTCGTCACTTTACCGATCGTAGTTGTTCTAAAAGAAAATTATTCATTGAAGTTTTATAATATGCAGTTGGTATGTCTATCCGATCATCACTTGTATCAATATTCGTTTGAATAATATCCGATGCTAATGACGATCCTGATAATTCACGTTTACCCCAATTACCTACAAAAAAAACAATAATTTTTTAAAAATAAACAAAAAAAAAAAATATTTACCTCCAAAACATGAGTGACCAAAATGTCCACAGAGACTACTTAAAGCGATTGATTGAACAGGTCGAGTGGATTGAAATAGAAGAATAATGACAAGAAAATACGAGAAACAAATAGGAGCTAAAACAATGGACTGTCGATTCATGATCAATATGGAAATTAAGCTTAAATGGTAACAATCTGAAAAAAAAACAAATATTCACCTTTACTAACATGTTTTTAATCAACATCTGAATAGAGTATTTAATCATTTCTAATTTATAATAAAGGATAAATATTCATCTCAACACAATTTCTTCTATCCCGCAAGACAATAACAAATTTGTCAAACTAGCAGAAGTATATAACAAAAATTTGTTATGAACCTGGCTATAACAGTAAAATATATAGGAAGAGGAAGAAACATGTTTCCAATAAATAAAAAAAACGGAAATTAAAGGAAATATTTTCTTATCACTCCTACACTTAAGTAGACTGTTGTCCAAATGTTTAAATCTCTACATATGAAAATTCTACTATATAATGTGTTATGTGATCAAGAAAATGAATGTATTAACAATGAATAGAAAATATAAACGTTTATTATCGTCATATTCTCTTGTATAAAACGAACAAATGAAAGAAAAAAAAATGCAACAATTATTTCTTATACTTGAGTAAAAAGAATCGAATTATAGTTTTTAATTGGAGATTGAAACAAAACAAGACTAATCTTTAGAAATATAACATCAATAATTGATCACACACACAACGACTAATGAATGTTCGTTACGGAAAATTCATAATAAGAAAAATGCATATAATACCAATTCTGTTGTAAATAAAGAAGAGTTGACATGTTCTATTCTAATTTAAAATTCGATCCCAAAAAAAGAATTATAATAAGTTTTTATCTTTATAATTTCATTGAAAAGTAGGATTTTATTCAGAGCTACTAATTCTGAAGCAGCCAAAATTAGAAGGAAGGTAAGTTTTTTTTCACCAAGAGAATACAATAAAAATTTTCGACTCTATTGAGAAAAGAACAAAAAACTTATCATAATTGAAGAGGGGTATCACTTTCCTGACACTGTCCTACTTCAGTTCGGTTAGCTCTGATTTAATCGCCTGCATAACAAATGAAGGACTATTTAACATAGATCAATTTCAAATCGTTATGTAGCGTCATCTATAGAAAAATTTCCATTACATTTTGATAAAATATCGATTATTATTTATAATATTTAATATAATAAAAAAAATTTAGAAATAAATTTTCATTAAAATATAAATGATAATGTAAATTAACCAATAAGTCATATAGAAAAAAATCAAGAACCAAAGAAAGAAAAGCACGCCTAGCCGTACTATACTCTTTGGAATCATTATTTTTTTTTTTATCTTATTTTGTTGACTTTGATGTATCCTTGTTTAGTACATAGAGATAAGCATCATTTATAGACTTTAATAAAATGTCTATATCGAGAGAATATTGTAATCATATTGGCTCATTTTTATTCCAAAAATTTACTTTGTTCTGTTTTTTTTTATTAGTTAACAATAAATTCCATCATTACATATACATATATCTAGATACATCATAACGATTTCGTTCTTTTCTTCTTTTTTTTTGTATATAATTTGTCTTGTGTTTCTTTCATGTCAATCTATTTGATATATATAGTACTTGTTTTTTTTTTTAATGAGTGATAATTGAGAAAAAAAAGAGCAAAGAATAATATGTCTATGAAATACAAATTATATAAATGATTTGTTCACAGATATATTTGATATTAAATCTATGTCTTTCTTTTTTTCTTTCTTGTGTTCTACTTTCGCTTCGTTTTCATTTTTGCTTTCTTTTTTTTTTTTTTGTATTATAGCAGTAGTTGTATTTGTATGTTGGATTTTTGGGTATGCGTATTTTATGATAATACCATCTTATCGTTTGTTTTTTATGGTTATATGCTACGAAAAAGAAAAAGAAAGAGAAGGAGAACAAGATAGACTACTGCCATTGCGAAGTGCAAGAACGTTCTATGGCCTACAGTTAGAAAAGAAGAAAAAAAACAGAATGAAAAAGAGGAAAAGAAAGAACAAAATAACAAACAATGACTGATAGACATATTACACTAAATATTCACTGATATTCACTTTTTTCTGACTCTCGTTCAACGTTTTTACAGCAAATTACAAACATATCGGAGTTTTGCGTTGTTAGTATAGTTTGTTCTGTCCTACTCTACATTTCTTTTTCTATTTATATCTAGAACAAAAAAGTATTTTTTACAAGAGAAGAAAAACAATTGATAAAAGTACAAAAAAAAAAAGACTTTGCTCATTGAACAAATGTACTTATATATATATGTACTGTTGACATTGTCTTTCGTCATTCTGATTTCTTTTTCTTTCTGTTTATCTAGAGTTTAAGTGCATTTATTTACGTTACTAAAAAAAGTATCATTACCAGGTGGATGTCAGAAATTGCAGAGCATAAGTTTCTAAGCAACCGTTCGATAACAATCCTTCATAACAAAAAAAGTATTTCGTTCTTATTTTTCTTTAAGCAAATAAATCGTTCTTCTCATTCTGTATTTTACCTTTTCTTTTTCAGACCAAAGTCCGATCACCGAAAAAAAAAAATGGTGGCATCGATATTTTTGTTATTTCTTTTCTGTCACAATCCAGTTTAATACACTCACTACTTAAATATTTTTATTTATTCATTTCACAGAACATATGTGCCTTTCATCACAAACTGTTTCTTGTTCGACGTCATCATCTAGTATATAAAGAAGAAACATTTATCATGCTCGTTTGAATTTAAAAAAAAAAATCTCTATATTCTTCGTCTCCTCTATCCCTCAACTTCACCAACAATAGCAACAACAAGAAGCAGCATAACATCAAATAATATGGAAGAAGACTTTTCTACCGAAGATGTACTTGTTGATAAAAATTCAATGCCTGAAGATGATCCTAATGGTAATACTCTACATGATGCTCTTGATATACGTTGGGGACCACAACACGCTGGTGCAAAATTACTTGCGAGTCAATATACAAAAGGTATAAAAAAAACCATCTCCATTGAGAGCATGACCTTGAAAAAAAAAAAAGTAAAGCAAAATATTGTAACGTTAGCAACCAAATATGTTATTTTCGAACACATATGTTTAGAATAAAATATTGACTTATTTCATATGATTAATTGTTAGTGACGGGATAGATTTAAATATATTTATTTTAGCCTTGGGAGGAATAAATAATGAGTTTACTAAGAAAAAGAAAACATTTTGTTTTTATACTATTCAATTATATATTACTATTCCCTTATTTCATTTTCTTAACGACTTAGTCAATCTTCTCAAAATAAAATAGAAATTATTTCTTTTCATCGATGTGAAAAAGAAAAGTATTACTTTGAATATTAATTAAAATTTACACAAGAGAAGAAAACGATGAGTACTGGTGATTCATATTAAACTAAAATTTGTTAATTTATTTTTTAAGTATTAAAAATTGAAGTTCTTGAAAATGAATTCAAGCATATAAAAGTATAATTAAAAATTCCAATCTATAGGCTTTTTTTTTTAAATTTTTTCTTTTTTTTTTTAACTTTTTCTTTTTTTTTGTTGTTGAACATTATTATTTAACAATGAATATGATTAAAATCTAAATCGAGATTATATTGAATGGAGATCATCTAAACATCTTTTTATTTCTATCCATATTCTGATTACATTAGTATTCCTGATCATTTTATCTATATTGCCGATAGGTTTATATCAAAATTGAATAGAGAATTCCGTTTCTTTTTCTCTTTTCTGATAATGAAACTAAAGCACACAATGATTTCTTATTTTAAAAATCATATTTTTCTTATTTAGAAAAACGTATACAAGAAATAGTTTGCATTATTCTATTCATTATATTAATGATCTATAATTTTTTCTTCATATTACGTTATTTTGATGTTCGAAATTGGTATCTTATCATTCCTGCAGCTTGTATGTTGATTTCATTGAAATGAAAAAAATTCATTGTTTTTTGTTGTTTCTGTTCTGTTCATATTTGTTTTTCTTTTTGATAGTATTAGGAATTTTAACAGCTGATTTAGCATCAGGTATTGTCCATTGGGGTGCTGATACATGGGGCTCTGTTGATATACCACTTATTGGTCGAAATTTTTTACGTCCATTTCGAGAACATCATATTGATCCAACATCAATAACACGTCATGATTTCATTGAAACGAATGGTGACAATTTTGCAGTTACTGTTCCCTATCTTTTTTATATGGCCTATAAATTTACATTTTTCAATGATAGTGATATAAGACGTTTATATAATTTTGAAGTTTATATGTTTCTCTTGGCTATTTTTGTTTCCATGACAAATCAAGTAAGATAAAAAATATATATATATATATATTTGAATAATATTTTATTTTTAATTTTGAATATTTTAGTTTCATAAATGGTCCCATACATATTTTGGTCTACCTTCTTTTATTGATTTTCTACAACGTTATCATATTATTCTACCTCGAAAACATCATCGAATACATCATGGTATATTTCAAAAAAAAAAACGAAATACTTCTGTTAAATTTTATTTTATTTTTTCTTTATTTTAGTTTTGCCTCATGATACATATTTTTGTAGTAAGTTTTCTTTTGTAAATATTCTAAATAAAAGAAATATAAAATTATCTTTGTATTTTTTTTTTCTACATAGTTACAACTGGTTGGCTTAATTGGCCACTTGAAGTAATTAATTTTTGGTCACGACTTGAAACAATTATTGAAAAATATTCAGGAGCAAAACCTCGTTCGGATGATTTTGTTTGGGCACAAAAAACAGAAAAAGTTCATTATGAATAAAAAAAAGATTCTTATCGCTCATATATATATGGTTTAAAATCAAGTGCGATTAATCATATTCTTTTGTTTTTTTTCTTATATTTCTCTCACACTTTTTCTTCTGTTCTCTTTTCACTAGGAGTTTTGTTTTTTGTTCAAATCTTTTTTTTTCTTTATCTTTGTCTTTAAATCATCAAAAATTTTCTTCTTTTTGCATCTGTGATGACTATGTGTGTGCAGAATGACTGAACAAATTAAAAACTATCCGAATTCGTTATTATCATCTTAGTATAGTTGATTTATATTGTTGTGTGTGTGTGCATTTGTTTTGCTTTTCTTTTCTTCTTATTTGAAAGAGCGCGAAAAAGAGAATTTTTAAAAGCACACTATTGTCAGATAATCGTAGGAAAAAAAAAACATTAAAATAACTCATTCGGATTTCTAATCTCGGTATTCATCCTTTCATTTTTTTTTTGTTATTACTTTTTTTCAAAACAAAATAAATAAGAGCAAAATGGTAAATATTGATTATCCGTATTTTCGATTTTTTCTTGAATAGATTTTCTTCCATATTAATTGGAGATTTGTATGTAGTAAATAATTAAAAGAGATTTTTTCAATTGATTAAATTTTTATTGTATGTATCTGTTTTGACATAACTTAATGTTGTTCGACTATGAATGTAATCAGAAATATCATCAATTAATGAAATGTGATTTTTATATATTTCGGATGGGACTCAATAACCATATTTGTATTTATTTTAATGAATCCAGAAAAAATCTCTTAGTTTTTTCCAATCAGTATTAAGAAAATATAACGATATGATGATTAATTTTTTATTTAATTTCTAGTTGATGTAATAACAAGATAAGACATAATCAATGTATTTAATCATTATGGCCTGGTTTACTGCCTATATGAGTAGTTGTGATAGAATATCAGCGACAGCTATTATAGAGATTCACTTGAATGACTTCGAATGAAAAAAGAAACATAATATCAAGTAATTATCTTATACAGATTTAATTACTAAGATGGTGGAAAAAAGTTTAACAACGACGTATTTTTTATTTGTTGTTTTTTTTTTGTTTGTAATGTTTTAAGCATCTAGCTCAAATTCAGATAGTGATTTTCATAGCCAATACAATTTTCTTTTATTAAGATTTCATAGATAAAATAAATAAAATATGATGGCAAAATTTCTTAAAAAATCTGACATGATAGTTTTCAAGTTCAAGAAGACTTTGTCGGAGCCATTTTAAACAACACAAAATTTCGAATGAAAGGAGGCGTCATCACATTCTCTAGGACCTTCCCTTAAAAAGCTAACAACATCACAAAAAAAAAGAAATTGATCAAAAAATCGCTTTCGTTTCAGTTACTGTGATACTTTTAACTTTTTAAAGAAAGATCGCACAAAATCTAGCAATCCTTTATTTTGTTCTCTTTAAAATGACATTGTTAAAAAATAACTTCGACAAAATTGAGTTCAGTGCTTAACATTATAGAAAAATCTACGTTATTGTTAACCGTCTTTTTTTTCATGACCGTACATTAAAACAATTTGTTCACATTTATTATGGAAAGAACTTGTACTCATTATTCGGTGTCATGTACCATCTAGTTATGAATTTCTCAAATAAAGCTGATATTCATTTTCTAGATTAAAACTCTTGAGAATTTTTATTAAACATTATCATGATCTTTTGATGAATATAAAGTCATAAGATAATAGAATAAAGAATTCCGAAAGATTATATTTATGAAGGATAATAATCTTTTTAATGTATTTTAATCTTATGAAATAATAGACCTATGAAAAAAAAAAGTTAATTGAATTACAAAACATAATATAAATATTTAAAAGATCAAGATGAATCTATAGAAATAATGAAATTAATTATTTTTGAAGAAAAATTTATTTTTTTAAATCTTAAATAAATTGATTGTTTGGATACATGCTGATATTTCGAATAGAAATCATTCGCCGGATCATAATAAATAATGAAAAAGTATCTTCATTTGATCTGAAACTAAGCTTTGTAATGTTTCATGACCTAAGAAAATTTTTATATAAATGTGAAGATAATCACTATTATGATATTGCTCGCTTCTTGGATCATAAAAGCATCGAATTACTACAAAAATTTGTGTTTTTATTGTAGATTTCTTACGTATTCTTCTCAACTTTAACAATTTCTATGGCAATGCTGGATAAAATATTCGCCATGATATTTTTTTTTGTGTATTTCTCATCATTTTAGATTTTCAAAATATTAAAATTTTAATTTTAACTTTATTTATTAAACTCATAAAAAATCGTGAACTTATCGAAAAATTTGTCCTTGTTCAAGTTTTTCTCTATCTTAAACATTCTTTTTTTTTCGTCTGCTTATGAATAATTAAAATGTAAAATATAAAGTTGTTTTCTTTAAAATCGATTTTATTTATTAAAATGATTATTTTCAATATTTACAATAGTTTAACTTTAATATTGAGTATGTTTTATTCTTGTACAAGGACTGGTAAAATCATATTTGTTATTCATAGCAATATCATATTTCAAATCATTCAGGTATTCTAGCAACAATCTTGATTCATACATTTGATACTATGAAATCAATTCGACATATTCAATTAGGTAGTAATCAAAAACAATCCATAGAACGTAAAATTCAAATTGTTAATAAAATATTAAGAGAACCGTGCATTTATAGTTGGCATACAAGTAAACAAATCAAAAAAAAAATGATTTTTTTTTGATTTTATGTTTTTTTCTATTTAATACAATTTGTTACACGTTGACTTAAAGTTTCATCAACATGTACAATGATACTTTCAATAAATTGAATTATTTTTGTTTTCCAAATGATATTCAATGATTAGCATCTATTCTATTTTGTGAATTGAATATTTTAATATTAGAGACGAAAAACAAAAAAAAAAAAAAGAAAAGAAAATCAGTAATCAATCAATTAAAATTTTCTTCTGATAATCTTAAGATATGGATCAACGATTTGTTCATCGATCCAATAAGTGATTATATTGATAATCTCATATTTAATACAATATCATAGAAAAATAGTCTTTCATCATCATTATTAATCTCCGGTCTTCGCTTGAATGCAGTCTATATACATTACCAACAACTAATCTGGATTAAAAAAATAGAAGAAAAGAGAGAGAGAGAGAGCGAGTGAGCCGCTGCAATCTGACAACATATATATGCTCAGTTCCTAATCTCAACTCGGAAATTCTTTTCGTTTTTTTTTTCTCTTAATATTTTTCTTGTTTCAATAATGCATTATATATCGGCTTAGGTTTATCGCAAGCCAAATGCGCTTGCTTTGTAGACGGTAAGCGAAAGCTCAATTAAACTTCTTTTTTCCACTAAATTTTTTTCGTTCTGTCTTCTGATTACTGCCGATATTGTTCTCTTTCTTACTTCTGTATAATCTACCTTGAACGATTGTGTTGAACTACTACAAAATTTTTTTTTTTCTTGCATGTTGTTCGTTCGTAAATCAGGATGATGATGACAAGGAAAGAAATCGATAGTGCTCAACCTTATGTTAGATTAACTCTCCGGACAAAGAGAACGAGAGCATAAAATCTAGAGAGAAAGAGAGCGAGAGAGACGACATCGGGCATGGCATCTTATCAAAAATGGACGATTAACAGAAAGATGATGAAGGTAGGTAAGGGGGAAAAGCGAGTCGATAGACGGGCGAGAATGAATTTTATAGTGAACACGACGCTTCGGCTGCTACTGCTGTTGCTTCTATTTGGAAAGAGAGGAAAAAAGTGATTACCGTTCGGCTCGAGAGGGGAGGAGGTCTGTCGCACGATGTGTATTAGAATTGATTGTGATTTGTGTGTGTATGTTTGACACAAGAGCGCACCGCCACCACCATCACCACCCGAAATCCATTTCTTCTTTCTCTCTTTCTCTCTTTTTTTTCTTCATCTCTATGGACTCAAATTGTATGTCTTGCCAGAAGAGGCGATAATACACATTCATTTCTTTTTTGTTTGAATATGTTCATTGATCGGGTCACTGAGAGGGTAGGTGCGTTAATCCAACTCGTTCTATAACAGGATAAAGATACATAAAGAATGGTAACAACACAAGAAGGACAGGTGTGCGTATTCTTAGTCTGTTCTTTCTTTCACCTGAGTATTTTTTTGTGCTACTCCCCATTCGACTCACTCTATCAAAGATTAATGATAGCTTATCGCTTTAGATGTCGAACTTTGCCGTCATTTTTGGCCGTTGGCAAGACACGAACATTGTTACTTTTGTCGTTTAAGTAAGAAAATTATTTTTCTTCTTGTTATATATTCTCACATGCGATATATATACATATATATGAATAGTCTAATAGTTGAACGATGATAATCAAAATTGCCATTATCCTAATTTTCATGCGTACGTCTCGCGTCACGGCGAATGCGTGTGAAAAAAGAACAACCGATAGGACAAATCGTTTGTTCTTCTGTCCTATCTGTCACGCTATTTAAACATATGTACATATACACACAATAGTTTAGCCCATCTATAAAAGAGATCATCGATATGAAAGATTTTTAATTTAGTCTTTTTTTTTCTTCATTGTTATGCGTATATAAATGTATATTTTGCAGATATCTATCAAAAGAGAAGAAGAAGAAGAAGAAAAAGAAAAAGAAAAACGAACCGTTATTCTGTAAACATATATATGTCAAGATTAGGATAGATAATACGCGAGTAGTCGTTGTCATTCGTTCTTTCTCTGCATTTTTTTTTTCACTGACAAAAGAGATGGTGAAGAACAAGAACACAGAGCTTATCGAGAATATGCAAGATACAAGGATTGGCATGTATAAAGGTAGATTTTAAAGAGATTACATCATTAAGATGTTCACTTCTTTTTTTTTTTGTTTTACATATACTACTTTTTCTTTTAACAAAAAAAAAAAAGTAATTTGACAAAAAGTAATTCCCTTTGTACATTGACGACATGCACCAGTTGTTGTCA